AATTCCAATAATTCTCAAAGTGTTCCACAAAATAGAAGCAGGAAGTTCATTTCCAAACTCTTTTTACGAGGCTACAATTACTTTGGTAACCAAGCCACCCAAAGATACAACTAAGAAAGAGAACTACAGAATAATAGCCCTCATGATCACTGATGCAAAATTCTAGCAAATCGAATTCAAGAATACATCAGAAAAATCATCCACCATGAACAAGTAGGCTTCACCCCAGGGATGCAGGGATGGTTCAACTAATGAAAATCTATCAATACAATTCACAAACAGACTGCAAAGGAAAAACCACATGATCATCTCACTCTATGCTGAAAAAGCAGTTGACAAAATCCAACACCCCTTCAAGATAAAGATCTTGGAGAGATCAGGGATAACAGAAATATGCCTGAACATAATAAAATCAATATACAGTAAACCAACAGCTAACATTAAACTAAATGGAAAGAAACTCAACGCAATTCCTCTAAAATCAGGAACAAGACAGGGATGTCCACTCTCTCCATATCTCTTCAACATAGTGCTTGAAGTTCTAGCTAGAGCAATAAGACAACAAAAGGAGATCAAGTGGATACAAAGGAAAGGAAGAAGTCAAAATTTCACTATTTTCAGATGATATGATAGTTTACATAAGTGATCCAAAAAACTCTACATGGGAACTCCGAGAGCTGATAAACACCTTCAGCAAAGTGGCAGGATACAAGATTAATTCAAAAAAATCAGTAGCCCTATTACATACAGATGATAAATGGGCTGAGAAAGAAATAAGAGAAACATCACCCTTTACAATAGCCCCAAACAACATAAATTATCTTGGGTTAATGCTAACCAAACAAGTGAAAGACCTGTATAGCAGGAACTTTGAGTCCTTAAAGAAAGAAATTAAAGAAGACACCTGAAAATGGAAAGATCTCCCATGCTCTTGGATAGGTAGGATAAATATAGTAAAAATGGCAATCTTGCCAAAGCAATCTACAGATTCAACACAATCCCCATCAAAATACCGGCACAATTCTTCACAGACCTTGAAAGAACAATAATCAACTTTATATAGAAAATAAAAGACCCAGGATAGCCAAAACAACCCTGATCAACAAGGCAACATCTGGAGGCATCACCATCCCTGACTTCAAGCTGTATTACATTGCTATAGTCCTAAATACAGCTTGGTATTGGCACAAAAATAGACAGGAAGACCAATGGAATCAAATTGAAAACCCTGATATTAACCCATACACCTACTTATAAACACTTGATTTTTGACAAAGAAGCTAAAATTATACAATGGAAAAAAGAAAGCATCTTCAACAAATGGTGCTGGCATAACTGGATGCTGGCATGTAGAAGACTACAGATAGATCCATGTCTATCACCATGCAGAAAACTTAAGTCCAAATGGATCAGAGACCTCAACATAAATCCAGCCACACTGAACCACTTAGAAGAGAAAGTAGGAGGTACTCTTGAACAAATTGGTTCAGAAGATCACTTCCTGAACATAACTCCTGTAGCACAGACACTGAGATCGACACTTAACAAATGGGACCTACTGAAACTAAAAAGCTTCTGTAAGGCAAAGGACACAGTCAACAAGACAAAATGGCAGCCCACAGAATTGGACAATATATTCACAAACCCCTTATCCGACAGAGGGCTTATCTCCAAAATTCACAAAGAACTCAAGAAGCAAGTCTCCAAAACCCCAAAGGATCCAATTAAATAGTGGGATACAGAACCAAATAGAGAATTTTCAATGGAGGAGTCTAAAATGGCTGAGAGACACTTAAGAAAGTGCTCAACATCCTTAGCCATTAGGGAAATGTAAATCAAAACAACTCTGAGATACCATCTTACTCCTGTCAGAATGGCTAAAATCAAAAACACCAATGACAGTTTATGCTGGAGAGGATGTGGAGTGAGGGGAACACTCCTCCACTGCTGGTGGGAGTGCCAACTCGTACAGCCACTTTGGAAATCAGTATGGAGATTCCTCAGGAAAATGGGAATCAGTCTACCACATGACCCAGTGATTCCAATCTTAGGCATATACCCAAAAGATGCACATTGATACAACATGGATGTCTGTTACACTATGTTCATAGCAGCATTATTTTCATGGACCCCTGCCTTCTGGCTGGGAGACCAGCATGGGACTAATCCAGGCTCTCTGATTGTGGGTGTCAGTGAGGAGGCCTGGACCTTGGGCAGTGGATTGGTGTTCGTCCCAGGCATACAGATGGACTTTAGATGCCCCTCCCACAGTGAGGGATGCTCTCTCAGCCTGATCTCTTGGTGAAGGGCCTGGGCCCTTCCCTGGATGAAATGGCAGACTATGGGGATCCCCCACAGAGGGTCTCACCCTCCCTGGGGAATGGGGTGGGGTCCTGAGAGAGCTGGTGGGGGGCGAGGGAGGAGAGGAGGGAAAAGGATCTGGGATAGACATGTGAAGCAAGCTTGAAAGAAAAAAAGAAAAAAAATTCTTGCTTTTTCTACAAGAAGTTGTATGCTTTTATGTTTTTGATTTAAATTATTATTTTATATGTACTTATGCATGGATCTGTGTGTCTATGCCATGTGTGGGGTGTGTGTGTGTGTGTGTGTGTGTGTGTGTGTGTGTGTGTGTGTGTGTGTGTACACATGTACAGAGAACAGAAAATGTCAGGCTCACTGAAACTGGATTTACAGGCAGTTGAGTTGTGAGCCGTCTGACATGGGTGCTAAGGAAGGATAGGAAGAGTTCTTAACTACTGAGTCATATCTCCAGTGCCAAATATGGTTTTTACTATATTTAGTTTTGTGACCTATTTTGAGTTCATTTTTATATAAAGTATGAGGTAAAGATTAGAGGGATTTTTTGTTATATTTTTGTTAAATAAATATGAAGTTGACCAGACTGTTGAAAGAGTATCTTTTCCTTATTTTTTGGCATCCTTAAATTCATATGCCATCATCTCCCCTACCCTCCATACATTGTTATAAATAATACCCCAAAACTGAAGAAACTATCATTATTAGTTCTAGTTACGTCTTGACCCAGAGACAAGTAACAGAAAAAGTACTCAGCCTGGAGTCAGAGACGTGACATACAATGTATTCTCACTTCCCCTTCAGGCATTAAAATGCTTTGCAAGTTGTAAAGTGTTAAATAAATGCTACCTTGTGTTTCCACTTGGAAACCCTTGTTTTAAAAAAAGGCCTTCCTTGCTCTTCATAATGGTACAAGGCTATAAATAGGACTATGTAAACAAATTACAAAAATACCTTCATAATCAATAGGAAGATATGATTGCTCCATGGCCCTTAAAACTTTAAACACTTTCCTGTTGATTATAAATTTATATAAAAAATTAATGCAAAATTGATATTTATTTTAAACACTAATCTAAAAAGTTAGAAACACTGAGAATGAAAGCACTTCATTTTTAATTTGAACAGGGTTTGCATTTTCCTTTCATTGTGTAACTTAGATGAGCCTCTTACTGTGGGTTAACTGTCATATTCCTCCCTATATTTGGATTTGTTCCTATCATTTTGCCCTCTATGTTTCCATTGTTGTGAAACTATCCTAAAGCTCCTGAGATGCAAATCTTCTAGCTAGCATACTTCTAGGTGATCTTCATGCTGGTCATCTCAACTACTTTCTGCTGTCGATAGTAAGTTGCCCTTCAGCAATTCCCTCTGAGTGCAGCAGTAGAGTCTCTTGCTTGGTGACAATATCACATGTTCCCAGTCAGCTATTTATTTTATAAGGCCATTTGTGTTCAATTCTAATTGTGTCCCTAGAATTACAATTTTTCTTTTCTCTGCTGCTAATGGCTGCTATCCTTGTTGTTCAGCTCTCTCTTGATTATCTCTTTTGTAGACTGCCATGTGGGTTTCTTACAGGGAGACAAAGGGGCACCACACCACATGCTTTGCTGTTCATTCATACAATACTAACCAACTTTGAAAGAAGTCAGTTTAGCCCCTGGTATGCTGCCCATCTTTTCCTGACACAGTAATCTGTACACTGAGCAGTTAACAGTCATATTGGCTATGTTTGCCACTGTTCACAGTTAATACACGGTGACAACTGAATTCAGATTCCTGTTTCAATATTATTACAATATGTTATATTAGTAATGACTTGTGTGCATGTCAGGCTGTGCAAGGTGAAGACTTACTGACAGGAGCTCCCTCTGTATGTGTGATGACAAAAGAGCTTTCACGGCTCTCACCTACACAGGCTGACACACTCAGACTAGACTGTGTCATGAAGTAAGCAAATCCTAAAATAGAACTAAGCTGAGTTACAGTTTAAGTAAAGAACAAACTTCAGGAAAATGTCCCTTATTTTTAATCATTTAAGTGAACTTCTTATGTCTCTAAGCTCATCAACCTTCGTGCCCAGGATGGAGCTCAAGCAGGATCAACCCTGTGCATTGTACTCCTAGACCGCACTTCTCACTTCTTATAGTCCCTGAGAGGGTCATATATATATATATATATATATATATATATATATATATATATATATATATAAATTTAAATTAGACACAAGGTTGCTTCAAATGTCAATTCCAGGTCCCTGTCCCTTTCCCTCCCCTCCTTCTAATTTAAATTTAAATTTAAAAAGAAAAAAATGCAGCTACCTGCTGGGCAGTAGATGGATGAGTTAGCATTAATGTCTAGGGCAGAGGACATATTAGCTCCCACTGTATTTTAATGTTTAACCAAACTGCCAGGGAAGGTAGCCAGGCTTAGCTACCAGGTAATACATGGTAGCCTAAAAAACGGACTTTGTTTTAGATGGTGATCAAGGCTAAAGGGCTGTGTAAATTGACAGTAGTCAGAGGAAATGCCACAGAGCCTAGACTATGCCCAGGTAATTCAGTGCTCGCTACAGGATTTCTCCATGATAAAGTTTAAAATTTGTCATGCAGTAATTCAATTCAGTTATTACCGTTTCCCAAGTGCTAACAGGAAAATAATGTAAAATGCTCTCAGCTTACATGGAAGAATATCTCGGTATCTGTTCTTGTCTTTGTTGAGTAGCTCATTCCCAGAGTGCAGGTCATCAAGCAGAGGCATCTGTTCTAACTCCTTCAAAATTAAAAAGCCAAATAATTTACTATTTAAAAGGAAGGAAAACTCCATTTGTTTATCATTTACCATCCTTAAATTCCATATGGTCTGGCCTGCTACTGAGCGTTATGTAACAAACCAGGGAAAGTAGAATCTCATCCAATAAGGACTGTATAGAGTATCCTGAGTTTAGAGAATGAATCAAAGAGTTGCTTGGTTTTAAAAAGTTCAATTTTCAAGATAACTTTCTTCCTGAACACTATTGTTTACCCTTTCATAAAACATGAAATAGAATATTTAGTTTTTAGGATTTAGTCATAACACTGTTATTTCATAAACAAAATAAATATTAAAAGAACATTTTAGAAGCTATAAGAAGCCTTAAAATTTACTCCTTCAAGAAATTACAGTTGGGATACTGACTAAAGAATTTTCTTCCTCTCAAAAGAAATTCTTAAACAAATGTGAATTCACCAAAATTTATCCAGTACTTAGTTCTAGATATTAGGATATAAAGACAAACTAGAAAATTTTCCCATCCTTAAGCAGTGAATAAAGAATATTTAATCAAACATGTGACTTACAGAAACAATAGTATTAATGATAGCATCTAATTGTACCTGAAAATACATAAGAAAGTAAGCAGCATTTAACCTGGTCTTAGTGAGCCACCAAAAGTGATTATGTGACATTTAATGTGTGTGGAAGGACACAGGAAGATGTAAGCAGCATTTAACCTGGTCTTAGTGAGCCACCAAAAGTGATTATGTGACATTTAATGTGTGTGGAAGGACACAGGAAGATGTATGCAGCATGGTAACAAGAGCATAGAGCATCTGATCTAGCTCAGAGATAGGATCAACTAGAAAAGACCCTGTGTCATCATCCCTTGGCATCACAAGGATTGGTCCCAGGACTCCCATGGAAATAAGTCTATAGATGTTGGAGTCCTGTAAATAAAATGGGGGCAGTTTTTCCTATGACCTGTGCACACTCTTTCACATTAAATGACCTTCAGATCACCTACACTCCTGGTACAATGTAAATGCTACACACACAATTGTTACACTGTATTGCTGAAGGTATAAAGACAGGATAGGCAAGGGTACAGTTCAACATGTTGCCAATTTTTTTGATCTACACTATTTTGAGACCACTAACGTAGAGCCCACAGACACAGAGAGCCAATGGTAAAGAAGAAACTGGAAAGTATTAGGTCTTTTTTATTCTAATATACATGGATAAAGCCTGAGACTCTGTATATTTTAAATTTTCTTTGCTAATTTTTGTGTATCCAATATGTAACAACCTGTGCTTAAATAAGAGCCAACAGCTGCTGCATCATAAGAAGGCGCTTACCTAGGTGTCAGCACTATGGTACTATGGCCAGACTGACAGTTTTTAATCCTTCTGAAAGCCAATTCTAAAACTAACGCAGAAAGAAATCTTTAAGACGAACCAGAAAAAAGTTACACGACAGTAATGAAGGTCTGTCTTAATATATGTTAAAAGCCCAGAAACCTGGAACCAGTACATGAATAATAAAGTCAATTTTTAAAACTCTAAGATAAAAGAAAAGAACATCACCACCAAAAAAATAATAATAACTTTAAGTAGAGTCTTAAGGCAAATGAACAGAAAAACAATAGGGATTCCCTCCAAACACCTTACATCAAGTTAAATTCTAACTGGATAACTGGATGAAAGATTCAAATAGTAAAAACGATCTTGATATTACCAAGAAAATATAAAATAATTATTGTGTCATTAGACTGAAATTTATAATACTAAAAAATTTAAAAGTCCAGAAGTCCTTTGGTTACCGAGGGGAGGGAGAGGGAACTGGGATTGACATGTAAAATAAGCTATTTAAAATTAAAATAAAAAATGATATAAAAAATTCCTTCAGGGTAAACAGGTATATGTGCATGTGTTCACATTTGTATGTACAAATATACTATACATAAAACACATAAAGGAATAATTTCTTCATTATATGAAAAATAATCAATATGGAAAATAATAAGTAAAATTTTGGGTAAAGAACATAATGCTTAAAAACATGAAAAATGATTCTGTATCTTAAAATAAAGAAACGACAGATCATCAACAAAAAGTCCTGACGGACTAATTTGACAGCCCAAATGACTGTTTTCCTAGAAATTTGTTCTTAAAAAAGACACATGTAAAATATACATATGAAGGATGATTGATGTTTAAAAAGTAGGGCAGGGGGTAGAACAAGCTAAACTACAAGAAACGAAGATATTTGCCATGTAATTAACTCAGAGTTTCAGCTGTATATTAGTGGTAACATGAATGAAAATTGTATGTCATAAGAAAATTTCTTTAAAGAGATAGACTTGTGAATAATGAACATTTCAACACTTCAAGTTTACAACGACAAGCTTAATAGCTGAAGGTAACCCTAGAGGGAAATGGGGAAAGAAATACATGTTTTATAGCATTTTATTACTAGTTGATATTTAACTATGTACAGCTATTATTTAAAAAACATGGCATTTAAAAATACAAGCAATATACTCAGTAAAAGAGGAATTAAAAAGCAAAGAAAACTTGTGGTTGCGGTATAGAAAAGGAAATTATAAACTTTTCCTTAGACCAACATATTTACCAAAAACTCACGGATGATATCATGTTCCTTTTTTTTCTGGAGCGTTTTCAAACAGTCCTTCATGGCAGATTGTGAAGAGTAGTTGAATATTAATGGTCGAATCGGAGTCAACTGAGCCAGTTCCTTCTCAGAGACAGTTTCAATTTCTGAGAAACAGAAATGCCCACATTTGTAAGTCAATGCAGATACTTAAGGGATATTTTGTACTTTTTAGATTTTTCCTCTTTAAATACAAAGCTTTAAATATCAACAGAAGTTTACTTTTCCAGAAGAGTCTGTTACTTTTAAATAGACTATTATTATTTGAGGAAAAATACGAATTGTACCTTAAAGCTGTAGAAAACTCATTCAGTGTTTATGACATAGTAAACTAAAGCATATTCTGTCTTCTAAAATGATTATGGTGGGTAGATGGCCAACTACACCAAGGCAAGAATGCATAAGACTTCAGACAAAGACAAAGACGAAGATTTTGCTCTCCATGGATTTAGTATTTAGAGTATTGGTTGAGTGGGGGGGGGTAGAATAGGGGGAAGAGGGAATCATAGGTTAGAAGACAGATCAGGCACGAGTGACCTCGAGTGTTCTAAAGGGATTACACCAATTGGCAAGCTAAGCAATGGTGGAGAGACCACCTCGAATGCCCATCCTTGATAATGAACTTGATGTCTATAACCATCCGGGAGCCTTCATCCAGTGACTGATGGAAGCAGAGGCAAACACCCACAGTTAAACACTGAACTGAACCCGAGGAACCCAGTGACAGAGAGAGAGGAGTGATGAGCAAATTGGCAAAGAATGGGCTGGCAAAACCAGCAGAGACAGCTGATCCGAACAGGGGAGAGCTCTTGGACCCCAGACTGACAGCTGGGAGGCCAGCATGGGACTGATCCAGACCCCCTGAGTGTGAGAGTCAGTGAGGAGGCCTGGGCAACCTATGGGGCCATGGGCAGTGGATCAGTGTTTATCCCTGATATACAAACAGACATCATGTGCCTATAGCACAAAGAGGGATGCTCTCTCAGCCTGGACTCTTAGGGGATTGCCTGAACCCTACCCTGAGTGAAATGACAGACTTTAGATCCCCTATGTGGAAGGAATTGACAATAGGGTGGGAGGCGGGGGGGATGGTAGAGGGGGTGCGGGAAGAGGGGAGGGAGAGGGAACTGGGATTGACATGTAAAACAAGCTATTTAAAATGAAAATAATAATTTTTAAAAAGAAGTATGTAAAAAGTATAAATGAAAGGAAAACGAGAGTCCAACATGTGTCTCACTCTACTAAAATAGATGAAACAACAGGAAACACATCAAAAGATAGAGAGGGTCTAAGTATTAAAACTCACAAGACAGAATAACAGAGATATATCATAGATAACAACAATAAAAGAGTATGTTCCTTATCAAATAGCACATATGAAATCCATCATTTTATAATGACCTTTAGTCAGTATAAGTTCTAAGTGTCTGAAATTTTACAAATATCATATATGGGTCAAAATTGCAGTGAGTCTAGAAATTCATAGTAAAATGTACTTTTTAAGTTACACAATTTTAAGATAAAATATTGAAGTTCTTAAAACCTCATTGCAAAGAAAACAGTGTAAACAAAAATTAAGTTACTACGAATAATACATAAAAATCAATTAAATGGAAGAAGGAGATGACCAATCCCAAGAACCTCAACAGCCTTGGGCAGGTCATCTTGTCTTCGAACCACAGTATATACAGGAGTCCTTTAGAGGGGCAGGAGGAAGAGGTTACTGGCTGGATGGATAGCAGAGAAATCCTACAACTCTTTATGGACATCTGTAGACAATGGGTGAGAGGCAGTATAAACAATTCATGAGGAGAGATGTATGTAGTTCTCACAACAACAGAGGCTATTTTGATCACCTTTGAACTAAAAGAAAAACAAAAATATTAAAGCCTCAGAGATTGCAAAGCCAAGAGCCATATGGCCATCTAGACAGATGAAGTCAAGTATTTAATAAAACTCAACATCTTGTTATGGTAAAATAAAACATTTAAAACCCAATTAATTCAAAATTTTAAGAGACAAATCTTAACACAATGAAAGTATACATCCACAGCAAACATCCTGAAGGGAAAGCTAAAATTTTTACTGAGAAGTCATGAATGAGATAAAGACCATTTTCATGATATTATTCTACATATAGGACTGGAATGGAACTCTTATTCAATAAAAAGACCAAAACATTTTGTAAAACAGGGAGGAAGTCAGAGGTTCCTCATTGGATGGCATGTTTTTACACATAGAAAAAAATTTTTCTCCTAAAACAAAATTTGTTAGAACTGGTACCTCTACTAAATTTACAGACAAAAAATCAGACTACAATACAAAAATTAACTGACAAAATGTATGATTTTACATAATAACAACAAATTTGCTGATCAAGAAATCAATAAACAAGCCTATTCATGGCAGCCAGAATAAAATATCTAGTGATATATTTAACCAAGGAAGCTGAATGATCTCTACAATAAAAACTATAAAATACTGATAAAGAAAAAGAGCAGGACATTAAAAAGTGAAAAGACTTCCTGTATCCTTGGATGGGACAAGCCAATATTGTTAAAATATCCATGCCAAACAAAGCAATATACAGGCATAATGTAATATTTAGGAAAATGCCAATGGCATTCTTCATATAGAAATAGAAAAAAATCTAAAATTCATATGGAAGCAAAAAAGAAGACCATTAGCTAATCAATGTTGAATAAAAAAGTTGTGAAAATGTGATTACTTGATCTTTTTATATAAATTCTATTTAAATTAGAAACAATCTTATTTTATATAACAATCCCAGTTCCCTCTCCCTCCCATCCTTCTATGCCCCCCACTGACCCCCACGACCACTCCCCTGGGAGGGTGAGGCCTTTCACGAGGGATCACTAAAATCTGTCAAGTCATTTGGGGCAGGGCCTAGGCGTTTCCCTGGATATCTAGGCTAAGAGAGCACCCCTCCATGGGAAATGGGATACCAAAGTCTGTGCATTAGGGATACACCCTGGTTCCACCACCAGAGACCCCATAGACTGTTCCATAGATGATACCCATGCTCATGGGGCTTGGTCTAATCCTATGTTGGTGTCCCAGATTGCAGACTGAAGTCCATGAGTTCTCACAAGCTCAGGTCAGCTACTTCTGTTGGTTTCCCCAGCATGATCTTGACCCCTTTGCTCATCACCCCTCCCTCTCTACAACAGGATTCCAGGAGTTCAGCTCACTGCTTAGATGTGGATCTCTGCTTCTTCTTCAATCAGCTACTGGATGAAGGCTCTAGGATGGCATTTAAGGTAGTCATCAATCTCATTATAAGAGAAGGGCATTTAAGTTAGCCTCTCCACTATTGCTTATAGTCCTACTTGAGGTCATCCTTGTAGATGTCTGTACAATTCCCTAGTGCCAGATTTCTCTTTAAACCTATAGTGGCTCCCTCTAGTGACATGCCTCTTTTCTTGCTCTCCTCTATTCACCTCCTGACTCAGTCTTCCTGCTCTCTCATATTCTCCTCCCCGCTCCTCTTTCTCCTACCTCCCTACCCCCTTCATCCTCCCCCCACCCCCTTGCTTCCAAGTTGTTCAGGAGCTCTCATCTTTTTCCCCTTCACCAAGGGATCATGTATGTCTTTCTTAGGGTCCTCCTTGTTTCCTAGATTCTCTTGAGGTGTGGATTGTAGTCTGGTAATCCTTTGCTCTGTGTCTATTATCAATATATGAGTGAGTATATACCATGTTTGTCTTTTTGTGACTGGGTTACCTTACTCAGGATGGTTTCTTCTAATGCCATCCATTTGCCTGCAAATTTCGAGATTCCATTGTTTTTTTTTTCCGCTGAATAGTATTCCACTGTGTAAATGTACCACACATTTTCTTTATCCATTTTTCAGTTGAGGGGCATCTAGGTTGCTTCCAGGTTCTGGCTATTACAAATAATGCTGCTATGAACATAGTTGAACGCATGCCCTTGTTGTATGAATTTGCCACATTTGGATATATGCCTAAGAGTGGAATTGCTGAATCTTGAGGTAGACTGATTCCCATTTTCTGGAGAAACCTCCATACTGATTTCCAAAGTGACTCTACAAGTTTGCACTCCCACTAGCAGTGGAGGAGTGTTCCCTTTCTCCACATCCTCTCCAGCATAAACTGTCATTGGTGTTTTTGATTTTAGCCATTCTGACAGGAGCAAGATGGTATATCAGAGATGTTTTGATTTGCATTTCCCTGATGGCTAAGGATGTTGAGCAATTTCTTAAGTGTCTTTCAGTCATTTTAGATTCCTCTATTGAGAATTCTCTGTTTAGTTCTGTACCCCACTTTTTAATTGAATTATTTGATGTTTTGGTGACTAGCTTCTTGAGTTCTTTGTAAATTTTGGAGATCAGCCCTCTGTCAGATGTGGGGTTGGTGAAGAACTTCTCCCATTCTGTGGGCTGCCATTTTGTCTTATTGACTGTGTCCTTTGTCTTACAGAAGAAGCTGGTAGGAGTACAAAATCATACAGCCACTTTGGAAATGAGTATGGTGGTTCCTCAGGAAAATGGGAATCAGTCTACCTTAAGATCCAGCAATTCTCTTAGGCATATACCCAAAAGATGCACATTTTCATCCAACAAGGACATCTGTTCAATTATGTTCACAGCAGCATTATTTGTAATAGCCAGAACCTGGAAGCAACCTAGATGCCCCTCAACTGAAAAATGGATAAAGAAAATGTGTGGTACATTTACACAATGGAGTATTACTCAGTGGAAAAAACAATGTAATCTTGAAATGTGCAGGCAAATGATGACACTAGAAGAAACCATCCTGAGTGAGGTAACCCAGTCACAAAAAGACAAACATGGTAAGTACTCACTCATATATGGATATTAGACATGGAGCAGGGGATTACCAGCCTACAGTCCACACCACCAGAGAACTCAGAAGCAAGGAGGACCCTAGGAGAGACATACCTGGTCCCATAGAGAATGGGAAAGGGACAAGATCTCCTGAGAAAATTGGGAGCATGGGAGGAGGGGAGAGGGAGTTAGGAGAAAGAGAAGGGGAGAAGAGGAGGGGAGAGGAGGACATGAGGGAACAGGAAGGTTTAGCTGAAGGAAGAATAAAGGAGAGCAAGAAAAGGCATACCATAATAGAGGGAGCCATTATAGGTTTAAAGAGAAATCTGGCACTAGGGAAATGTCCTGAGATCTACAAGGATGACACAAACTAAGAATCTAAGCAATAGTGAAGAGGCTAACTTAAATGCCCTACCCTTATAATGAGATTGATGACTACCTTATATGCCATCTTAGAGCCTTCATCCAGTAACTGATGGAAGCAGAAGTGGAGATTCAAATATAAGACTGAGCCCAACTCCTGGAATCCAGTTGTAGAGAGGGAGGAGTGATGAGCAAGGGGTCAAGACCTGGCTGGAGAAACCCACAGAGACAGCTGACCTGAACAAGAAGAAGCTCATGGACCCAAGGCTGATAGCTGGGAAACCAGCATAGGACTGTTCCAGACCCCCTGAACGTGAGTGTCATTGAGGGGGCCTTGGCAATCTATGGGCCCTCTGGTAGTGGATGAGTATTTGTCCCTAGCACACAAATGGACTTTGGGAGCCCATTCCACATAGAGGGATACTCGTTCAGCCTAGACACAGAGGGGAGGGCCTAGGCCCTGCTCCAAAGGATATGACAAACTTTATAGATCCCCCATGGAAGGCCTCAGCCTCCCCGGGGAGCAGCAAGTGGATGGGATAGAGGATTAGTGGGTGGCAGAGGGGAGAGAGAGGGAACTGGGATTGGCATGTAAAACAAGCTTGATTCTAATTTAAATTAAAATAGAAAAAATTTAAAACACAAAAAAGAACAACTCACTGGACAAATCAGAAACATCTAGAGATGAAAGTAAACATCATATCACAACTTACCACACAGCAAAATAAGTTCTAAGGAGGAAGTTTATAGCTGTAACATGTATTAACAAATAAGAAAGATTCAGAACAACCATCAAGCTTTACAACTTAAGGAATCGATAAAAAAAGAACTAAATAAAACAGACATATAATAAGGATTCAAGCAGAGATATTTGAAATATAAATTTCAGAGATATAAACAAATAGAACCAAAATATGCTTATTAAAATGCAATGCCAAGATTGGATAACTTTTATTTAGATAGTGTTGTAACATGGCTTTTAAGTGTAGCTAAGGAGCCCTGTAGTAAAAAGTCTGGTAGTAGTAGTGGGAACTTCCACAGGTAGGGTCTACTGGGACATCTTCAGATCACTGGGGAAAATTTCTGTTTCACTGTCTATCATTTCAGCTGAGTAACAACTCTGCTCTACCACATACGCACAAATCCCACAACATGCTCCCAAAAACTAATAGTCAACCAGTCATGGACAAGAACCTCAAAGTTGTGAGTTGATATAAATCTTTCCTTTTTATGAGCAAATTACCCTGTTGTTAAAGTAATGGAAATCTGAATAACACAGACGGACACAGAAAAATATTCAAGTTACTAAAATCAAGAGTAAAGGTGAGAATATTAATACTAGTTACTAGGAAATTAAAAGTATTATGTTCAAACACACACACAAAAGTTAGGTAACCTAAAGGAAATGGACAAATGCCTAGAAACACAATACCTACCAAGGAAAAGTCACAAAGATGAAGAGTATCTCAAAGACTCATAGCTAACAAGAGGAGTGAATTGGTATTCACAGTTTTCAAAGTTAAGCCCTAGACAAGGTGACTTCACAATTGAGCTTCTTCTCCATGGCTGACCTTCCCGTTGCTGGATTTCTCAGGCTTCTTCTTCCCCCACTGCAGTCACTTTTAGATTGTGGATAAAACATCTATTGGAAATGGTTCATATTCTAGCTGTTCTCAAGGTTACAATGCTTGTTGAGGCTGTTTTCTTATTCTCTTCCCCACTGTCACGGGAGGTGGGGTGCAGCTCACCACTGACAAGAGTTCTCAGAAGACACTCTAAGGCAAACATGCTTGAGTCTGAAAAGTAGATTGGGAGAAACCTCACTCCTAGAGGCAGTTTCTCAGTAAGCTCAAATGGCACACAACAATTCATCAGTATAATGTCCATTACACTGTCTACAGTGATAGTAAAGGTAAATCCTCACAAAAAGGCTGTCAAATAAAGTAACAGACAACAACAGTAACATAGCATGCCCAGTTGGTCTCATCTTAGGAATGCAATCAAGTTTAACATTTTAGAAATAGTCCTAAGTGTCCAACCTTGTCAACAGACAAAAGAAAAATATTACAGAAAGAATTTTAAAAATTCAAGACATCCACAGTAGGCTGATTTTTTTTTAGACTAGTAGAATGTAGAGTCCTATGGGTATATGCACTGGAGTGAAAACCTGGAGCATTCTCTAGTACTTTTTTAGAAGCCTCCACAATAATTTCTGATGTGTATAAGGGTTCTCTCTCCTCACTTCGCTAGCATTTATTATCATCTGTTTACTTCATGGTGGCCATGCTCCCTGGGATGAGATAGACACATAAAGCTGTTTTACTTTGCATTTCTCTGATTGCTACAGATAGTTTTAAACGGTTTTGTGAGAACTTCACACCTAAGTTTTGGATCTATATCATTGCCACCACTCCCTCCTCCTCTAACTCCCCCATGCCCTGCTTACCCCCCCAAAACTCCATGACCTCTTATTATTTTTACACACATGTGCAAGCACACACACACACTCATCAAGTTCACTCAACGTTGCTCTTATTCACATATGTCCAGTACTGACCAATTGTGATTGGGCAACCAGCACAGAAGCTTTTCTCTGGTGAAAACTGAGTCTGTCTCTCTGCAGCCACTGACCACCTGAACCTCTCGTTTAGAAATGAGAACTGGTGGAATTCCCTCATCTATGTTGGTCTATCACCCGGTATGGTCAATATGTCTTGTTCAAGCAAGCACACTGCTAAGGTTCACGGGTGCATTTTCCGTGCTGTTTAGAACTATCTGGCAGCAGGTACCCTGGTCCTCTGGCTCTTACATTCTTCCTGCCTCCACTTCTATGTTGTTCCCTGAGCCTTTGGTGCAGAGGTCGCATTGACGATCTATCACCTGGGGTTGGGCACCCCTTAAACGGTTTTCGAAATATTGCCATTTGTGTTTCTTCTTTTGAAAATGGTTCAGATCATATGCCCATTTATGCACTGCAGCTTTGTGTCTCTGGTGTTTAATACTTTGCAGTTCTTTATATACTCCAGATTTTAACACATTGTCTGAAGTACAGCTGGTAAAGATTTCCTACCATTCTGTAGACTGTCGGTTTTTTATGTTATCAGAAGCTTTTATTTAAACTTCATGTAATCTCATTTGTCAGTTTGGAGAAGTTCTTGTAATGTTAAGCTTCTATTCAGAAACTTGTTGCATATACCTTTATTCTGAAGCATTTTCCCTTTACTTTATTTGATGAAAGAGGGCCTAGGCCACTGTAAGCAGCATAAGCTCTGGGCGATGGCCCTGGGTTACACAAGGGAGGTAGCTGAGGAAGCAGCATTCTTCAATGGTTGCAGCTCTGGTTCTTGCCTCAGGGTTCCTTCCTTGAGCTCCTTCCCAGCTTTGCTCCATGATGAACTACTCATCTATATTGCTTTGTCATGAAGTTTATCACAACAATGAAAAAGCAAACCAGGATATCCACTGACCCATCTTGTGTGTGTGTGTGTGTGTGTGTGTGTGTGTGTGTGTGTGTGTGTGTGTGTGTGTGTGTGTGTGTGCACTTACAGCTATAAACTTTCCTCTTAAGAATGCCTTAGGGACTAAAGAGCTGGTTCAAGACGATTAAGAGCACTGGCTGCTTTCCCAGAGGTTCTGAGTTCAATTCCCAGCAACCTCATGATGGCTCACAACCATCTATAGTGGAATCTGATGTCCTCTTCTGACATGAAGTTGTATATGCACATACAGCATTAACATATATAAAATAAATATTTTTAAAAGCTATAGCTATCCTTAAAGCCCTCCTAACAACCCCAGACAGCATCCCCTTCCCCTGGCTTCACATTGCAACTTGTGAAAAAAAATTTGCAGAGATCCACAGCCAAACATTTGGTGGACCTTGGGGAATCCTGAGGAAAAGAAGGCGAATGGATTATGAGAGCCTGAGGAGCCAAAGATACCACAAGAAAACCCACAGAATCAACTAACTTGGGCTCACAGGGGCTCATAAAGACTAAACCACCAACCAGAGAGCTTCCATGGGACTGACCTAAGCTCTCTGCACATAAGTTACGGTTGTGTAGCTGAGCATGGCATCCCACCATAGCGAATGGGCTCCAACAAGCTAGTTCATTTGACTCTACAAATTTTTAAATTTTCATTATTTATTTATTTGATGATTCACTATTTATTCAATGGTGTACTGTTTAGCCTACAAGTACTTGTGTATTTTTTATTATTCTTACTGTTGATTCCAGTTTTACTCCACTACAGTACAATAGGATGCAGGAAATTATATCAAGTATTTTATATTTATTAAGGCTTATTATGTGGCCTATGATGTGGTCAATTTTAAAGACATTTCCATATGCCAAGAAGAATGTGCATCCCTTATCTCTTTGGTGGAATGTTCTATAGGTGGAGGTGAAGTCTAATTGACCTGTGGCCTAATTTAGCTCTAAGCTTTATCTGTTGGGTATTTCTTTAAAGATCTGTCATGTGTATGTGAGAATAGGGTCTCCCATTATTATTATGTCCATACCTATGTGGTCTTTTATGTCCTTTAGTATTTGTCTTATGAAATTGAGGACTCCATGATTTGATGCAGGAATATTTACCATGGAAATGTCTTCAATTCTTTAAGCTCATCAATAGCTTTAACAGAATAGTATTAAGTAATAAAGGGCATTCTCCTTACAAGAGTGACTTGCTCTCTTTTGTCTTTATTTCAATCTTCGGGCCCTCGCCTGAATCTGTGAGAAGTATTGGAGTGCAGGTACTACAAATGGAGTCCACCGAGACCAGGAAAGAAGGGCAAACGCTGGAGGATCACCCTCAGAGGCTGGCCAGCAAGTAAGGTATGAGGGTGTTTTGGAAAGGGGTACCAAGCTAGGGGTACCAGATTAATCTCCAGCTTTCCCCCATATCCACTAAGGTTGGGAAAGGAAGGGGTAACTGAGAGATCGCCCTTGTTGAAGGGTGGGTTGAATTAAATCTCCAGTCTTTCGCCCGGCACCAAGGTCTGGAAAGAAAGGGGAACCTGAAAGATCACCTTCAGAGGTTGGCCAGCAGGTAAGGATTTTTGAGGGTGTATTAGAAAATGTATGTGAGCTTCTAGGGCTGTATTGATAAAAGAATTGTTATAGAGATGAGGTTTTAGAGGTTGGATCAGAAAAAACTACTCACAAACTTTAAGTAATTTTCAAAAATTATTTGGGACATATGTTATAATCTAAAGAAATTAAGCCTCAAAAATTAGAAATTAGAAAGGATATTTACAACCTTTAAGTTGCTGGGAAGTATTCAATGGTTATGTCCTTTTTAAGGGTATCTACTGGTGATTTAAAACCTTTAAATGAGATACTAAAAGAAGTGGTGATTTGAATTCACCTAGACAGTTAACTAAAGATGGCAGACAAGTTCTTCTACTACTAGAAAGTTTAATCCAGCATCAACAGATGTTATATTAACAGTGCAAAAACATGGGACATGGGAATTCCAAAAATGATAAAAACAGACAGCGGGTCTGGATTTACTAGTAAGGCATTTCAGTTATTTTGTACTCAATAGAAAATTGAGCACAAAATAGGTATTCCTTATATTCCCCAAGGACAAGAAACTATGGAGCATGCTCATAGCTTCTTGAAAACACAACTTCAAAGGATAAAAAGAGGGAGGAGTAATGTCCCCAGTCTCCACATGATGCATTAAATCATGCACTCCTCATTTTAAATTTTTATATGTGGATGCCAGTGAGCAATCTGCTGCAGACAGATTCTGGCATGACGGAACTCAAGTGACTTTCACTCAGATCAAATGGAGGCATTCCATGCACTAGACAGTGGAGAAGACCCAATTCTGCCCTAATTTGGGGTCAAGGGTGTGTTTGTGTCTTCTTGCAGGAAAAGAAAAAAAGCTCAATGGCTGCCAGAATATCTGGTGAGATACATGGAGCAGAGAAAAACTGGGCCTGAGACACTGGGAGTCTGCCCAAGCCAGTTCGAGTGAACTCCACTGAACCAGTGTTCCTGACCCTTGATGTCATCGAACCTACAGTCCGAGGAAGAAAGGAAACAGTTGGTTCCAGATTTCCAGTTTCTCAACAGGCCTACTACATCGATTTCCCAAACCTGTTAGTTTTCATCCCGGAGTCAACAAAGAACTGGACACCTTGAAACACAGAATTCATTTTGCCAGTTTTTCCCTTTGGGGAAAAAAAGGACCCATTTAGAACAAACAATTGGACACTAGTATGGACCATTATTGAGTGACAAAAGCCCCTTCTCAGTATTTGACACACAAGCCATCAGAAGATCTCTTGGGCCTTTGTGAGGAACCCGCCTGTCCTAATGCCACTTGAGAAGCTGTTGTAATGGTGAAATATCAGCCTTGATGGTTGGTATCCCTGGTATCATGCCTATGCCAGCAGAACACTCGGAAGAGAACCAGCTCATCCTTACATGACAAGAGAGAGATTTTGACATCATGGCAGCCATGGCAGCTATATTATCTCTGAATCAATTGCTATGGCAGACACACTGGATAAACTCTCAGGGGAGGTTGTCTCTACATTAATTTCCCAAAATAACATTAGTTTTCTAGTAAAATTAGACACTTTAAATCTTAATCAGCAAATTTCTTTCTTAATTTTCACAAATTAAGATTTTTGAGACCAGAGTGCCTCCCCTTTTGGGAGACTCCCTCTTAAAGAGACTGCAGCCAACAGGTTGATTTTAAGGAATGGAGTGGGCTGCTAGCCCGCTGGATTATGGCCCTGGGCAGCAGTTTTAGCCCTAGTCTGCCATTGCTGCATGGAAAGGTCACAAGTTCAGCGCCATTTTCAAACAAAGCAGATCATGCTTTCCTTGGCAGCAGATAACCCCTCAGTGCAGGCCTGGCTGAGCCTGCAAGACAAATGAGCAATCAATGACAGGTAAGGGGGGACATCTGTTAACCTAAGACAGAGGGTCTGCGGGGCCTGGGCAGGCTTTTCAATGATGGGTAAAGCAAATGTTGATGTCCTGGGCAACCTAAGACAGACGTTCATTTTTTTATACATATAAAAAAGGGGAATTGTTAGACCCTTCTCCCATAGGGATCTGCTGACCAGCTTGTGACTAGGAGCTTATCTAAGCAAATACTTCTTGTTACCCTCCTTCCAATAAGGCCTGAATGTAAGTTCCTGTTATCCGCCCATCCTTATTGCCAGAGGGCCCTGGGAACCTAAACTTCTGACCTTGGTAGTTCTCCACTGTGCCTGCTAACTGGTGTATAAAGCTCCCCTCTTGTTGCAATAAACGGCATTCTCTTTGCCACTGTCTTTTGTCTTTATTTCAATCCTCAGGCCCTCGCCCAAATCTGAGAGAAGTGTTGGAGTGCAGGCACTACAGAATGTGTCATTCGTGAGAGCAGATATAGCACAAATGAATATAACAGGAGTTTCTCTCTCTTCGATATGAATACATGATAAAATAAATTGCCTTTCTCTTTTATAAGATAGTAAAGGCAATGTAAATTAGAGAAAACCAAGAAGGTGGAATTATTTACTCTTCTGGGAAAAGAATATAAATGTCCTGTGTACAATTGAAATTATTTCCATCATGACACTTGCTTACCAGCATGGACTCTTAACATATTTTATATTTCAAAACAACCAATCAGTTTATACTATACTTATACTTTTTACAATTATTTCATTGTTATTTAATGTTTACTTTTCTGAATTTACAATTAGATTGAAACACTTTTTCCTATTTCTCTTCTGTGATGTGCCTGTCAATGTCTTTAGCCCGTATTTCTAGTGGTGGTCCTTTACTTGTTAAAATATAGTTCTTAATAGACTGAGGGCATTAATTCTTTGTCACTATAGCTCTAGTAATCAGCTCTTAGAGGAGTCCAATCTTAGTCCTGCACTGAAATTGAGAAGGAGAGTACCTAGAAATAAGTCACTTTTGAGTATCTCTTGCTAAATTGAGAATTGGCCTACTGTAACATGTAACTAATTTCATGCCACACAAACATGAGTTGTCACTCAAAGCACAAAATGCCATCATGTTTGAGTACTGGCAGAGCTAGAAACAACAGAGACTGAAGATGTAAGCCTGTGGTTTTCTATGGTTCCTGACTCCTCCCCTTTCTTTTAAAGCCTCTGAGCCGAGCTTGTTGTGGACTTGTACTGTTGGTACAGGAATGCAGACCTAAGGGTGTTTATTTGTTTGTTTGTTTGGTCGAAAATTTACTCTAAGAGTATTACTAAAGACTCAACCCCAGAATATTTATCACAACATCTATATATCCAACAAGAAATCAATAATATAGATTATGGTACAGTCATACAATGGAATGTCATTAATTTTCCTGAAAACAATCTGTGATGTGCATAGCTATTGATTTTGAAAAAGAAATGTTTACAAAGAAATATATTTACATCTTATAGACATATTACAAATTCTACTTTTGTCTAAACTATAGAAAGCTATGATGAACATCACTCATGATCTAATATGTGCAAGTTGCTAAAGCTACTAAATGATCCTTTTGTTGAACTTATTAGATAGCTGAAACCAGGACAACTGAAGAATCGGAAGTCTGAGGTCAGACTGAATCCTCTCAAGAGTGACAGGATGTGGAATACTACCTCACTTGTAGTGACCAGTGGGAAAGAGAGAAACAGACAACTGCACACCTGGGAAACAAGCAGGGTATTGCCAAACATGACATGGACCGTGTACAGTACAGAATACTAAAAAGTCAAGGGCACCAAGAGTCTGCTCACACTCATGGACTCAACTTCACAGATCTCCAGCAGGTACTTAATTGAAGGCCTGGGAGTACAGCAGGGGTGTAAGATCATTTCCCAAGTAGGACAGGCTTGGAAGAGGAAGCTACTACCACTGTGGAAAGTGCATAATGCCTGAGTAGGACCTAGTCCCACCCCAGAACAAAAGTTTAAATTGTAGATAGAATATTGCAGCCAATTTTATTGTAGCAAAGTGAAGACTTACTGCAGTAGGAAAAGAGAACCCAACCAAGACTGTACTCCAAGCAGATAGAAAAGAGACAGTGCTGGGCTCACATTACAGTGGGCCAATACTGTTACAAATCTATCACCTTCTCCCATGGTAGAACTGCCAAAGACACTAGGCAGAGTTGGATGCCATAAGAAGGTACAGTATCACACACACACACACACACACACACACACACAATGAAATACAATTGGACTAAAGGGTAAAAATTGCACTCATAAATACGAAGGGCTAGTGTTCTATTTTTAAAGTATTTTCACATATTAAAAATTACCATAGCTCTTTCTTTCATTTCCTGTTAAAACTACCTTTGTGCACACCCTTTGAGAACTTACTACCACCAATGGTGCAGTACCATACCAGGAAGCCCTGAGGAGACAGTCTTTGATGGCCCTGCAGACTCTGTGTCCACACTGTTCCACCTGTCTCTGCCCGAAAAGTCACTGGCATTCCACAGAGTCTCATCACTCTCACTAGAAAAAAACATACACAAGATTTAGAAAAACAAATTGCAAACCCTTTGGGCAATCCACCAGTCCTCTCTTCTCAGTTAGCCAGACTGTAAGAGGTAGAGGAACAACTGGAATTCCGAATACCAATTTAGGAGCCATTACTATGTTCTCAGACAATGTCTACAATCCGTTCACTAGAGCTCACTGCAATCATTCCCCTCATGTACTCCTTATCCAAGTCTCTTCCTTCCTGAAAATCAATAACCACTCCTAGAAAATATAACCCAGAACTTACTCTTTGAAAACAAATATTTAGATTCAACCTTCCACATCATTTCTTACTTGTTCCCTGTTCAGAATTAATAAACTATGACTTGTCTGTTTTTCAACAACTAATTATCTATATATTCTTTCATATCCTGAAATACTGAGTTTTCCTTCATCTGTCTAGCTGATAACTACAAGTTTTTTAACTCACTGTACTGACTTCCTGGTCCCTTTCTGACTTCTTACTGTCAGTTTCCTTACTCTCTGGGCCTGGCTCTTGCACTCTCACGACAATCTCACTTTGCAAATCCTCTTCACTTGATATCTAGACTTCATGTTCAATGTCTAGGAAAAATTCTTCCTAAAATTATCATTACAAGGCTACTCTTTGCTGCAACATAAACAGTATTTCAGCTGCTTATATTTCATCATGATTTCTACTGGTTTTTGATGAGGTTCCCAGACTTTTGTATATATGTTTCTCTTATTAGTTGATAAAGAAAATACTGTTGGTCAATAAGGCAGGAAGATAGGTGGGACTAGGAGAGGAGGAGAATTCTGGGTAAGGTAGGCAGGACAGCCTGCCAGAGAGACAGTCACCATGTAGGCTGCCAAAGGAGTAACATGTCCAGACCCTTCTCTGGTAAGATAAGACCACATGGAAATACTTAGAATAATAGAAAAGGGTTAATGTATTTTTTTTTGGTTTTTGCAAGACAGGGTTTCTCTGTATTGTTTTGGAGGCTATTAGACCAGCCTGGCCTCGAACTCACAGAGACCCACCTGTCCCAAGTGCTGGGATTAGAGACATGCGCCACCACTGCCAGGCCAAAAAGGGTTAATAATTAAGACAGAGATAGTCAATAGTAAGCCCTCATCATCAGCCAACAGTTTTATAATTAATATAGCAGCTCAGTGTGCTTATTTGGGGTTGAGGTAGTGACAGGACCAGGCCAGCCAGGACAATGAACCTCAAGTAACAGGTTTTTACAAGTACTTTGTGTGTTAGCTATGTCTCTTTTTCTGGTTCTGTGGGAACTTTTGATGTTTTTACTCCTCATCTTTTAGAACCACTGTAAACATGTTATTAATGTTCATTTCCTACCCTTCTAAGCTATCTTCACCTTTCCTTCAGTAACTTTCAAGGCTGGGGGAGGGGGTAAAAATATAGGATGGATGGGCAGACAGTAAAAGGAATGAAACTAGAAATCTGTGTTTCATTTTAATTTTAGTAGGCCAAATAAAATATATGCCTCGCTTCATACACACTGAGTTCCTTAACTCCAGCCTGAATTATATTTTTAGTTTTAATTCTCTTCTCTCCAGATTTCTGTCATCCCAACCCACATACATCATCTCATCTTGACACATCCTCCTCACCATTAATAAGATACTTTCACAATCATCTCTCAGCTTAAAATCCCCCCCCCATTTTTCATCTGCTAGGCTTTCTATTTACTTAAAGTCTAAATCCAATAATAGTTATTTCTTTTTCAAAAATGCCCGTGAGGGGCTGGAGAGACCGCTCATCAGTTAAAAGTGCACACTGCTTTTGTAGAGGACCCGAGTTTACTTCCTAGTACCCACAGCCACCTCTAACGCAACCTCTAGTGGACCCAACACCTATGGTCTCCATGGCCATCAGCACACATGTGCACAGATACACACACATACATATAAAAATTAAATAATCCTTTTTTAAAGTTTGTGAAAAACTCTCTGTGTAAATAGCTGTAATATTTCTATAGCATAGTCTTTGAATTTTCACTATGTAATACTCACTATGTAAACACTTGTCTTTCTATGTTTATTTGCCTACCTAAGCTATTATCCAAATGGCAAGGGTGGTATTTTGTATTGAAGTATAGAACTCAGAAGACAATAGGACCTCAAAGTACTTGGACTGCCATCATTTGTTGTTCCTTTAATGCACTTCTGAATATGTTTGACACAGATACACACATACAAAAATATTAGCATAATCATACAATACTATTCTGGTGAGTACAGCTAACGTTGTTGATAAATTTCTCTGGGAACACAATCCAATCAAACAGATATTGATTTAATATGTAGTACCTAAAATTGAACATTTTATAAACATAAAAACTCATTCTTATCACCAGGCATGGTGGCGCACACCTTTAGTCCCAGCACTAGAGAGACAGAGGCAGGCAGAACTCTGTGAATTGGAGGCCAGCCTGGTCCACAAATCAAGTTCCAGGATAGCCATAACTGTTATACAGGGAAACACTGTCTTGAAAAACCAAACCAAACAAACAAAAACTCTCATATTTTTTTTTCTGAAGTAGAAATTTACTCTCTTCTGGTTCTTCAATTTTTTTTCAGACCCAGTATTAAGAATTCACCATTCTAGTTGGGCCATGGGTTAAAAATACAATTTTCTTTCTGAAAACAGATCAACTGTTTAACAAATCTGATGATGCACTGAGTTTTATGCTAATTCAAGGACACTCTCCCCTCCAGGAGCTCTACACACATTTACAAATGTTTCATATCCACTGAGATAATACAGATACTAAATCTTTTGTCAACTTCTTTCCATTGTTAATATCACATTTATGATATAATAAATATAACTTATTTCTAAGAAAGATAAATTGGGTTAAAAAACTGCATCATAAAAAATGATCAGACATTAAGGGCCCATGATCACCATCTCCATTTAGAGGGCCAGCTATGACTATGAAGAGAAAAACTAGAAAACTCATTCAGTAAGTCTATTGTTCTTACCTTTCTGAAGGTTCATGGAAAAGAAACTCGTAATTCTTACTTGAGAATGTCATATGAGAGGATTTCACTTTCTCTGAATTAACTTTATTCTCAAAAACCTAGAGGCATAAGAAAGGAAATAGATTAAAGGTATAATTTCAGGAAAACATAGTTAAAAATACAGTTGCTATAGTCTTAAAAGTAGTAAGATCTTTAATGGTGGAATCAAAATTATAATCACATAGTGTTATTTAATTCCCTGAAAAATCACTTCAAATGTACATTGACTTAGTAAATATTTTCCAATTTTCCAAAATAGAGTACAAATTATAAATATCATTACATAATTAATATTTATTAATTATATACTATATAATTCATTTACATGTAAGTATTTTAATTTTAAGTAACTATAATTAATATTTATTTCATTAAATACAAATAATATACACTGACTAAAGCTAATAGCAATTAGCATCATTTGAAAATATTGGTTATTACTACAGGCTAAAAGAAATTTATGTAAATGCTTATGACATTCTATTTACCGTGAAAATAAAATTCTTAGCATATGTGCTGCTGCTAAAGCAAGCACAAAAAAAATGTGTTACATTTACACAATGGAGTACGACTCAGTGGAAAAAGAAACAAAACAAAACAATGAAATCTTGAAATGTACCAGCAAATGGATAGAACTAGAAAAAACCATCCTGAGTAAGGTAACCCAGACACAGAAAACATGGTATGTACTCACTCATAAGTGGATATTAGACATAGAGCAAAAGATTACCAACCTACAATTGACAACCCCAGAGAAGCCAGAAAACAAGGAGGACCCTAAGAGAGACATACATGGACCCCCAGAGAAGGGGAAAGGGGCAAGATCTCCTGAGCAAATTGGGAGCATGGGAAGAGGGGAAGGGAGGTAAGAAAAGAGGAGGGGAGAAGGGAAGAGAGGAGAATAACATGAGGGATCAAGAAGATCAAGTAGGGGGAAGAATAGAGGAGAGCAAGGAAAGAGATACCTTAATAGAGGGAGCCATTATGGGCTTAACAAGAAATCTGGCACTAGGGATCCACAAGGATGACCCCAACTAGGATTCAAGCAATAGTGGAGAGGCTGCCTTAAATGCCCTTCCTCTATAATGAGAATGATGACTAACTTAAATGCCATAATAGACCCTTCATCTAGTAGTTGAAGGAAGCAGAAGCAGAGATTAACAGCTAAGCACTGAGCCAAACTCCTGGAATCCAGTTGCAGAGGGAGGAGGGAGAAGGGGGGAGCAAAGGGGTCAAGACCATGTGGGTACCAGCTGGGGGCTTGGGCAGTCTATGGGGCCTCTGGCAGTGGAACCAGTATTTATCCCTAGGGTACGAATGGACTTTGGTAGTCCATTCCCTGTGGAGGGATAATCTCTCAACCTAGATACACAGGGGATGGCCTAGGTACTGCCCCAAATGATGTGACAGACTTTCATGATCCCCCATGGGAGGCCTCACCCTCCATGGTCCCATGGGAGGTTGGGGGAAACCTGGGATTGGTATGTAAAATAAGATTGTTTTTAATTTAAATAAAAAATAATTAAAAAATAAAATAAATTTCTTAGCATTATATTTATCTTTAATTTAGTACTTTCACAATCTAAATTCAGCAATTCTACACCTGTCTTTACCATGAAATCTTGTACTGCCAAAGGTGAAATTGCTATTTTTCTTCCATATACTTGTAACATTCTGTATTGTGCCTGGCTCATGGGCCAGCAACACAGAACTTAGAGGGATAAAAATCATATAACAATACTACTCAAATCACACTTTAAAATTGATACAAAAACACTTTTAAAGAAGAAAAATATCCTAGAGGTAGGTGAGATGGCTCAGATGTTAAGAACACCTGTTGTTCTTTAAAAAAACCCAGGTTCACTTCCCAGTTCCCGTGTGGCAACTCAGAACCATCTGTAACTCCAGTTCCATCCGACATGACCTAACACCTCTTCTAGCATCCAAGGATACAAAACAT